CAACATGATTTCGACATTGTTGAAGGTATGGTCCCAAAAGGTTAACAGGAAGAAGAAAAAGACCAACAAAATTAATAAATACAATAACCCATCCACCCATTTACCCTTTTTCTCCTTTTTAGAAAAAATGACTTTTATTAATATTTTAATATAATGCAATCTTTAAATCTTCTTAGATAACTAAAAATATTACTAACGGGGAAGAAGAAAATAAGAGTTCTTAAAAATTAAGATGACATTAGTAATATAAAGCTTTTTATATAAAATGTAGTTTATCTAAAGTTTTGTGCAAGAAAAATGTAGCATTACCATCATCAACGAGTGATTAGTCAACTAATACTTCTTGAGTTATCAAAACGTTCTGATTTTTTACTCCATAAAAAAACATTTAATTCGATAGTACCTATAATATTATATATATATTAATTAATAACTCGATTGAAAATCTTACACCAAAAAAAAAAAAAAATTGAGCTACCGACATTATATAATAACTTTCTCTTTTTTGTCATCATTGAATAATTACTTATATCCCTTTGTATATATATATTTACCGTTTTCTCTAGTAGTTTCCTCCAATTAGTTTTTCTTAGGAAAAAAACAAAAACAAAAAACAAGGAGTAATTTACTTTTTTTTATTAAAAAAAGGGAGTGTAACGTACTATTTTTTCTTTAGTAATTTTGTTTGTTTCGAAGAGGAATCGAGTAAATAAATACAAAGGAATCGAGTAAATATAGAAATATAGTAAAAAGAAAAAACGGTGCGTCCAATGAGAGAAGCGACAAAAGCTTGAGTAAGAAAGCACAGGTTTAGAGGAAGTGGTGGCGAGTCACGTGGGCTCATTCCTACACAAACTGTACGTCCTCAGAGTGGCACGGACCCATCACCTGGGCTCCACGTGTTAACACCGTCACATCACGCCTCCTCTCTCTCCGTTAGTTTACTTTTACCTTCACGCTCCACGCGCTTCCCCTAGGCGCGTGAGATTACTGGAGTCTACTCTTCTTCTTCGCTGGAATAGAATGTTCCTTTGTTTCTTTTTGGCTTACGATGCGAAGACGTCACGAGCTATTGGCACGTGCCATTTACGCGCGGCGAATAGATAGCTTTCGATTTCGTAATGTGTGTTTTTAAAGAATTATTATATGTCAGAGGAATT